CTATGCTTTTTAGCCTCATAGACCCGCCTCACTCCTTCAGCCAGAGAACTGGGCTTTGATTTGATAAGGAGATAGTGTGCTGAGGAACATGTGTGGGCCAAGTATCCTGGTGCTCTTGATTTCATAATGTGTATGGACTTGGTGAGGAAGGTAAGTCCAAGAATTAAGCCATGATGACCAGGGATAAAAGAAATTCATTAGATTTTCCCCTTCTCCAAGTCTGAAAAATTTATGGAGTACCTTCCCTCCGGAATGGTACCTTCCACTATCTCAGGGGTGCTTTATCTATTCTTTAGGAACCAGGACGTCTCTGGGTGGCACAGATAATGAAGTTCTTGAAAAGGCAGTTCAAACATACCTAGTGGTGCCTCAGAAGACAGGCTTGGCTAACTACTTGCAAAAGGTCACAACCTTGAAAACTCTATGGAATAGTTCTACTTTGTACATATAGAATGACCATGAGTTGAAGTAGACTTTAAAGCAACACTCAAGAAACTTCATAAATCCATGTGCTACAGGTCTTCCTAAGGTCAGCCCAGACTTATCTGTGTTTGAGTTACAATAAACAGTATTATGGATGTGTGATTGTTAGCACTCACAGGCCTAAGGGAGGTCACTAACAGAATTAGAAGTATAAGCCAGTATGAATATAATATTCATTAAGCAGCAGCTGAGCATCACAAGTGGGATATTGAAGTATGACCCAACTCACAGCTACCCTCCCCCAATTGGAAGAGGGTTGGGAAGCATTTGTCTAACATAATTGTCTTCCAGGGACTTGGGATTGGAGGTAACCCTGATGGTATGGTGTCTACAGGGCAAACACAGTCAGTAATCATCTTCCAAACCTAGCACAGATGTGTAAAGAATTCTGATTAGGGAATGTGATGCTAATTTTCAAGTGAGAATTGTCAAGGCTCAGGTAATTCTGAGACATGTCAAGTTTCATATTAGCCATTGACCCCATGCTTCACATCTCACATAGTTATAGCCACCTTACCCTTACTCCCACATGCTTCCAGATAGTTTCTGAAACTGTCATATAATTTCACTCAAACAGATGCATAAACAAACACCAAATGTGGGAAGGATGCTTATTTTAATGACTTTTCTAGAAAGTGACCCCAGAAATACAGATACAACCAGAAGCCTGGTGGCCCTAATGCTGCATTCTCCTAGCAAGAACAAACAGGTTCACCATGGAAATGGTGAAACCAGGCTGCTCCTTGGAGGCAAGAATTTTGAAGCTCTGTCTGACATGCTTTGGGCATGTTGTCAGGAGGGACATCATCTTGCAAGAGATGAAGATCCTCGATGAGATGGATTGGCTCTGTGACTTGGGTACTGGGATTAGGTGTGTCAAAGATGATGAAAGTGGCTCAAGATAGAGCAGGGTACAGAGCTGCTGTAAACAGGGTTGCTGCTCAATGGCACATGACAACAACAACAAATATCTATAGATAGATAGCCTATAGATAAGTACGGAGTGATCAAAATTCACTCATCTAGATCAAGGGCATACTGGCCCTGGGAGAACCTCTCAGGAGTACACAGGGTTCTGGAACTGGATCACAGAGGATGTAAGGGCCACTCTGATGGCCTAAAATGTCCTGAGGGAGCTCTGGGTTCTTATTGGTAGAAATATTGATAGAGGACAGAAGGAGGAGGAGTCAGAGGGGACAGCACATGGAGGGAAGCCTCTCAGTGATCCCTACACCACGCAGGTATAAGTAACTATGAATCCCAGAAGTCCGTGGGTCAAGGCCACCTTTATATTTTGGAGTTCAGAAGGCAACACACAGAGAGAAGGGAAGAGGAGTCAGAGGGGACAGCACATGGAGGGAAGTCTCTCAGTGATCCCTACACCACACAGGTATGAGTAACTACGAATCCCAGAAGTCCATGGGTCAAGGCCACTTTTAAATTTTGGAATTCAGAGGGCAATGTGCGGACAGAAGAGAGGAGGAAAACAACACTATATATCAAATCTATAGGATTTATCAACTTCCCCTGAAAAATTCGTGTAGCATTAAGGATTAAGTTACTTTGGGGAACAAACTGCTGTCTGGCCTGACCACATAGGTCCCCTTAGCTCAGGCAACAGGGAGGTCCTGGGCATCTCAACAGAGGTGAGAAGGGAACAACAGACTTCCTCCTTGATCGTTCAGGTGCTTTAGGGAACAAAGTGCTGTCAGGCTCTCGACCGTACAGGCTTCAGGCCAAAAAGAGAGCACAAATATATAAGTGCTTCTCAAAACATTGCTGTGGACCAACGCAAACATTTGAAAGCTGTGGGAGCAGCGAGCATCAGCAAGGTGCAGTGAGCTGCACTGGGGAGCAGCAAGCTGTGGTATGGAGCAATGAGTCACAGTGGTACCCACTAGCCAGGACCAAGCAAGACAGCAGGTATTTGAGGGAGGTACTTAGGAGAGATCACAGGTGATTGCTGAACCAAATGTGGGACCCTATCACTTTAAGCAGGAGGGACTAAGACAGCTGGAGCTCGAATGGGGTGGCAGACACAGTTGTTGAAAGGAAAATCAAGGCTTCCTGGTTTTCCATTCAGGTCTCCCTGCACACCTCCCTGTGTGCATCTGTGTGCACGTCTCTCCTCCCTGCCCATGTGTGTGTGTGCATGTGCACCCACCCCACATGCATCTACTTGTGTGCCTGCCCAACCTTCTCCTGGAGCAATGACATAAGATGAAGAACCAGGTATCCATCACCTCAGATATGAAAAATTCTACCACATCAACATCCCAAAAGAAGCAGGGTACATCACTCACCACAAAAGCCCAAAGCAAGACATCATCCCCCAAAATGACACAGTAGCAATGGATTTCCTGAAGCCAAAAAGTCTGATGGAACGTTCTGATACAGAATTTAAAAGAACAATGATTGAATGTTTTCAATGGATGGAAGACAAACTTGAAGAATTACAGGACACTGCAAGCAAAAATCAGGAGGATCTTAAAAAAACAATCCAAAACAATGCAGATAAAACAAACGACGCATTAGAGGCACTGGAAAAACAAGAAACCACAATCCAAAATATGAGATCCAAGGTTTCAGATGCTGTCAACATGATGGAGGGACACATGAACAGAGTTGAAGAGGTGGAATACAGAACCCGTGAAATAGAAGATAGACTTGTCACCATGTATCTGCTAAAGCAAAATGCAGAATCAAAAAAGAAGGAAACAGGCGAAAACTGAATAATAATGTGGGACATCATCAAGAGAAATAACATGCACATTATTGGAATCCCAGAACAGGAAGAAGCAAGTAAAGGT